GGCGCCGGGATCCCCCGCTGCTCTGCGGACCGGCCCGGCCCAGCCGCGCCTTTGTGGTCTCCCGGTCACTGCCGCGGGCCCCTGACCTGAGGCGCGTGTGGTGCTGGAGGCCTGAGGGTTTATATAGCTGAAGGAAAACTGGATTTTGAAATATTTATTATATTTAATAGAGGAAAAAAATTAATAAATCATAGCTGGATAACTTTCTGTGACTTCCTATAGTTGTTTCACAACTCAGTTCCAGAGGAAGGTAAGTTATGTTGTAGCACGTTTTTTTTATATATATATCAGGGGTTTTTTTTTCTTGTGATTTATTGGAGAACCACCACACAAAGCACTGACCTTGCATGTACATCTGGTTTATAGTAAAATGAATCTGGGTTTCAAAGTATAGTCTGTTTGTGCCTGCCAAATTATTTTGCATTTACTGTAACCCCATTACTTCAAGTGTTATGCCTCATCAAGTAATTTTTTCCCCATAGAATTACATATTTTTATACATGAAACTGTTAATTCCTAAGATCTTTCTCCTCAGGCAGTCTCTAAACCCTTCCTGATTATCTGTTTTTCTATTCTGGCAGTTCTCTGCTATTGTTTAGTTTTATTGATCCTAGAAGTTAAGTATTTCATGTGCAGTTACAAGGGGGCACTTGAGAGAAGCTCATTTTCTTCGTTATCCTCTAAGACAATATTTTGTTTTCTTCCCTTTGCATTCACACTGATATTTCTTATGGCTATGTTTCATTCTAAGTTTGCCTCTGACTTGCAGGTTGCTGCTATCTTGTTACTAGTTATCAGCATTCTCCCTTTCACTGCTTGTAATGTATTAGATATTTTAACATGCCAGGTTATTTGAACAGTGACATTATTTTTTCATCTGAAATATCAAATTGTTTGAGAGTTCTATTTGGAGTCTGTTTCACAAACATAACTGCATAGATTCAGTTATTTAAAGGACTTTAGTGGCATCATCTAGGCATCACTGACATTACCAAAACTACTAGTTGAACTCTTAACTCAAGTGGTTCCAGTCTCCTAAATACCTGTGTTTGCCTCTTGTATGCAGAAAATTCTGGATGTACTGTGTAGGTACACAGCTGGTGTACTTACCTAAGCACTTAAAAGACTGTTAAAGTGCCTGAAACAGGTGAGGACTGCTCAAAAAATAGAGCAAAGTGCAGCAGCAAGGGAGATAAGCTGTTCCTGTACAGTGAGGGAATTCAAACAGTTCTTTTATTTATTTTTTAAAGTTAAAAGCTGTGTTGTCTTCTAAGGGAAAGGGAACTTCTACCTGAGTTTTCCCTGTTCTGGGTGACTGTGTGATACTTGCAAATGGTGATTACTCAGTCTCCCTTGTGGTCCAGATCCGGTTTTCTTATTTTTAGGTCATAGATTTAAATCTTAACTTTCCACATTCTAGGAGGTGCCTTACATCTACACAATGAGGTCTTTTCTTACTCAGAAATGCCCAGTTAATGTTTAAATACTCCTACAAAGTCAAACAGCTGCAATATGTGATATTGAGTGATTTTCATTATTAAATACTGTGGTGGGTGACCCTGGCTGGGTGGGTCAGCCAAAGCTGCTCTATCATTCCCCTCATCAGCTGGACAGGAGAGAGAAAATATAACAAAGGGCTTATGGGTCGAGATAAGGACAGGGTGAGATCATTCACCAATTACTGGCATGAGCAAAACAGACTCAACTTGTGGAAATTAGGTTAATTTATTACCAATCTCAGATAAGTGCTATAATACTAAACTGCTGGCAATTGGAATGTCTCTTTTCTTTTTTTAATGCTTGATAGGAGAGGGGGAATTGGCCTCAAGTTTCTCCAGGAGAGGTTTAGATTGCACATTAGGAAAAATTTCTTCACCTAAAGGGTTCTCAGGCACTGGCAGAGGCTGCCCAGGGAAGTAGTTGAGTCACCAGCCCTGGAGGGATTTAAAAGATGGGTAGATGTGGCGCTTAGGGACATGTTTTAGTGGTGGACTTGGCAGCATTAGGTTAGTGGTTGGACTCAATGATATTAAAGGTCTTTTCCAACCTAAATGATTCTATGATACTGTCACTAAAGACCTTGGTAAAAAGTCTATGTCCATCTTTCTTATAAGCACCCTTTAAGTATTGAAAGGACACAATAATGTCTCCCTGGAACCTTCTCTTCTCCAGGCCGACAACCCCAACTCTCTCAGCCTTTCTTATAGCAGAAGTGTTCCAGCCCTTGGACCATTTTCTTGGCCCTCCTGTGGACCTGCCCTAACAGGTCCACATCTCCCTTGTACTGGGGACACCAGAGCTGGACTCATTGCTGCAGGTGGGGTCTCACGAGAGCTGAGTAGAAAGGGAGGATCACCTCCCTCAACCTGCTGGCCACGCTGCTTTTACTGCAGCGCAGGAGACGCTTGGCTTTCTGGGCTCACCTTCATTTTTTTATCCACTGATATCTCCCAAGTCCTTCTCCAACAGGGCTACTCTCAACCCCTTCATCTCCCAGCCTGTATTGATACTGGAGATTGCCCCAACCCAGGTGCAGGACCTTGGACTTGATCTTGCTGAACTTCATGAGCACGTACATCTACTGTTGGCTGCTTTAGGGGCCAGGATGCTTGACCTTGTGGACCTTTGGTTGGACTCAGTTTAGATGTTCTTAGTCCTTGACTCAACCAAGTATTGCTCATTGGCCTGATCTCTCTCTTCTAGATAGCTGGTGATTACCTTTTCTTTCAGTCCTTCTGTTGAGTACCTTCTACTTTCACACTGAAGATCTGAACTGTGCTGAAGATGTCACAGTACACTGTTCAATCTGTCCTTTTTTCTCCCTAGGCTTACGGCATTGTATGGAAAGCAATAGATCGCAGGACAGGAGAAATAGTTGCTGTTAAAAAGATTTTTGATGCTTTCAGGAACAGAACAGATGCTCAGGTGAGAAATCATTGTTTTAACATGTCCTGAAAGATGTGGTGGGAGTTCACAAGTATTTTCAGGATTTGTGTCTCTGAAAGATGTTAGTTATTTGACAATTATGCATGTAATGATACAGTCTACAACTGTATTAGGATAAAAAGGAGCAATAAATGTCAAGCTTTGTATATCATGGCATCTACAAAATACTGTTTGATGTCCCTGAGGAAAAAGTGTCTTCACAGGCATGCACAATTTGATTCTCCCTTACGTTGTTATGCTGAAGTGTCAAAGCACAGAGAGCACGCTTGTAATTCTCTAGTGAGCAACTGTTTTTCCAAGCCTGTCTACCGTATAAGAGTTTCCCCTGCTTTAGAGACTAGAGTGGATTTAACCCTCTCATTGGAAGTCCATACTCTGTTCTGTCATTCTGTTGAGATTAAAATAAACTTTTTTTTTGTTTATTTCTAGAGAACATTTCGAGAGATTATGTTCCTGCAGGTAACATCAATTTTTCTCGTTCCTCTCTGATTTTTAATTATTTCTGATGTTGTTCATGTATTTTCTTCCCATTCTTTTTGAAAATGCAATGATCAGTGTTGACAACTCTATTCATTTCTTTCCTGCACCATCTTGGCAAACAGTCTTTCCATGACTGGTTAAAAACACCTGAATGAAATGGAGAGTTGGTCTTATTTTTTCTTTGAGACATGCTCTGTTCTTTCACCATTTTTAGCAGTATGCTTATGTCCTGCTTTTTATTATTGTCTAATTATTATTTTAATTTTATTTTTACTCTAATTATTAAATTGTTCTTACCTCAACCTACAAGTCTCCTTACCTTTACCCTTGCAATTCTCTCCCCGATTCCCTGGGCGGGGAGGGATAAGGGGCCGGGGGGGCTGCGAGTGGCTGTGTCGTGTTTGGCTGCCAGCTCAGTTAAACTATCACAGTCTACTCTAGGATCACCATATGGACTTGCACTTTCTGTCACTTCTTACTTGTGGACAGAAAGTGTTTTTCCTAAATTTTAAATGCCACAACTGAGAACTTGGGCTGGAGTGTGGAAGAGATTTACAAGCCAAAATTTTTTTTCCTCTGTCATGTGGGAAGCAGCATGACCACTTGAAACAATCAAAGCAAAACTAAAAGGGAAGTCATTCTTAAGAATTACTTAGGGCTGCTCCTGTTTTTGATATAGTTGACCACACACTATACCTAATTATCCTATCAGTGGCAATAGCATTAAAATTTTCTGTCCATTCCTTCACAGTCTTGCCATGTAGAAATATAAATGTTTTCTAATAGTAATAATGTTGTCATAACTATGATTTTCTAAGGACACAAGCAAGGCAGGGCAGAGGTATTTCCTAAGGCTGTCATATTCCTAAGACTGTCAAGAGGTATTTCCTAAGACTGTCATGTTTAAGTAGGAAAGAGATGAGTTGTTTTACTTTTTAATCATTCTTTGAGCCTGAAATAGAACCTGCAAACTTAAGAGCTAAAAACATATGAGAACAATTCCTTAGAAGTTAATTATCTGTAAGTTAGATCATCTCTGAAAGTATAGCAGTTCTGGAGTAAGTGGGTGGAGGAGGAGTTGGGAGAAGAAAAAGAATGATATTTCTCCTGAAGGAAAGAATGAGTCATTTTGGGGGAGGGAGGTTAATGTGCCATTAAACCCTTACTTTCCTGACTTTTGGTGCTCAGTAGACTTAAGAATTTTATTTTCCCTCTCCTATTTTTGAAAGTATTTTATAGCTCTTTCTTAAGTTTCAGGACTGAGAGATCAGAAAGGGAAAGATGTAAGAAATATTCTTTAATTGGTAACTGGATGTTTGTCTAATTTGTTTGTCTGTGCAGATTCCTTTCTGTGCATAATGATTGCTTAGTTTAATCTGTATGTTTATCACAAGGGCATTTGATGGACTGGATGAAGTTTATTGTAATTGAGAAGTGTTGATGTAGAATCTGGGCATTTTGCTGACTCTTCTGCGTGATACATAGTATGCTGGTCATCATGGTGCTTGCAGGTTTTGTGTTTATTGTTCAGTATAGTTGTAGATCTATTTGGTGCATTTTGGGCCACATTTTAGAATGTAATTTTTGGTAATTACTTTAGTGACAGCATTTTTCTTTAAGCAAAGATAAGTTGTGCTGGCTCTGACAAGATTTTCTTCAAGGTAGGATTTTTTTTAGTATAGATCGAAACATTTTCATAACTTTTCGTTACCAGTTCCAGGGCAAGACAGTGTGAGACAATGGGGTTTTCCTTCAGTGTGAAGTTCTTGAACAGTACACAAGTAATACTGTCAAGACTGATCTGCATCTTTAGAAAAACATCCCTTTTGGGTAAAAACTTTCTTTAGATTATTTGGATGGGTGTTCTGAATAATGTCCTCAGAATAAATGCAAGGGTATTTGATGGGCTGGCTGTGTATTACTGCTTTGTAAGTGTATTTTCATGGGTTGCTGTGGGTGAGTGTGTTGGTTTGTGGATTTTTCTAAATGTTGCACGTTATAACCAATTTTTGTCTTGGCCTCAGAGTCCAGGAAGATGATGTTGTTGTAAGACTGTGCTGGAGATAGCTTAATATTATGATTTGTTATACTGTTTGTAACTTAGATAAAGAGTCTATATTACTGCCTCAAATAACAAAAAAATCGTTTAAGTATTTATGTATTTTAGACACAAACATGGGTTTTATGGTGCAGCTATAGTAGTTCATGAAAATGTCGGCATATTGTGAGGAGTTCACAGTATCTCTAGCTGCACAGAAGTGTTAGCTATAGGAAATAAAAGTTAAGACTGAGGGTGAGGTAAATTATCTTGACAGTATTGTCAGTCTGCAAGTGTGAGGATAGAATCCAGCCTGCTCTAGATGAACCTGCTTTGTCAAGGGGGTTGGACTGGATGATCTCCAGAGGTCCCTTCTAACTCCTACCATTCTGTGATTAATTCTCCTCCAGTTTAAGATATCTGTGTTTGGGTATCTGTTTGTATGCTGACTGTCTGATCTCCCATTGCACTCAGTTCAATCAGTGCAGCCTGTAGAGTGCTTCAGCCTACCCCCAAACAGACACTTTCAAATTGGTTGGGTGTTTTAATTATGAATAATGACAGCAACTTTGTTCTGTTTTCACTGCCACAATAATACTTTTCATTCAGTAGGAAATATGAGGTGCATAAAATTGACTGAATTTTATTCACAAATGTTATAGTGGGATTTTTAGAACTGATGTCTCAGACTACAGACATTTGGTTTGGTTTTTTTTTAGATTAACTGGCTGGTTTCATAGTGGAACAAGCGTAGATCCTTTTTTAAAAATTTATTTCAGTAGAAACATAATGAAGGAAATAGCATGTTAATGTTTGTTCTAGACAATAATACAAAATTAAATACATTATTGTCCTTTTTATGATTCACAAGCAAGATATGTGATTTTGACTTTTGAGTCTTTTCTCTCTGCAGGAATTTGGAGAACATCCAAATATCATCAAGCTGCTTGATGTTATCCGAGCTGAGAACGACAAGGACATCTACCTTATCTTTGAGTCCATGGGTAAGACTTAGCATTGCATCAGCCATTTAAATACAGCCTCTCTTATGTCTCTTACCTTTGTTCCTTACTTTGATAGTAGTGTGTTGGTGATTTATGTGGATATTCATATAAGTAGATATATAAGTAAGAGCAGTACATTTTTTTTAATATATTTCACTTCTGATTAGATCATAGAATTATAGAATGGTATAAGGTGGAAGGGACCTTAAAGATCATCTCATTCCAACCCCCATGCCATCAGCAGGGACACCTTCCACTAGACCAGGTTGCTCAAAGCCTCATCCAACCTGGCCACAAACACTTCCAGGGAGGAGCAGCCACAGCTTCTCTGCCCAACCTGGGACACTGTCTCACCACCCTCACACCAAACAATTTCTTCCTCACATCTCAGCTCCATCTCCCCTCTGCCACTGTCAAGCCATCACCCCTTGTTTTCTCACTCCCTGCCCTTGGCCAAAGTCCCTCCCCAGCCTTCCTGGAGCCCCTTCAGGTACTGGGAGGTCTCTAGAAGGTCCCCCCGGAGCCTTCTCTTCTCCAGGCTGAACAGCCCCAACTCTCTCAGCCTGTCATCACAGCAGAGCTGCTCCAGCCCTCGCATCATCCTTGTGGCCTCCTCTGCACTGGCTCCCGTAGCTCCATGTCCTTCTTGTGTTGGGGGCCCTGGAACTGGACACAGAACGCAGGTGGGAACAGCAGTGAAATTTTAAAGGGATTAATAATTATATGAGAACTGGCTGGCTGAGATGAAGGAAAGACAGCAGTAAGCAACAAATTAGAAGGTTTGTAGAGACCGAGTTGCATAAGGAAGAGACTGTGCAATTTTATTATCACAAAAGTATGCAATAATAGAACAGTTACTGTGGCATGAGCTGCAAGTTAAACTGATACTAGAGAGAAATTGCAGCACTATCGGTAATTACAATGTTAATGCCTGTTGAGGATGCACTTGAAATATTACATTTTGGACAATGGTCTATCCTGGCCTTGCTTTGAGGAACTTAAGTTCACAATTTGATAATCCGTTACAGATGTAAATATATTACTGATGTAATATATTACAGAGACAGATTTACATGCTGTGATTAAGAAGGGGAATTTGCTGAAAGATATCCACAAGTGTTATATTCTCTACCAACTCCTGAAGGCAACAAAATTCATCCACTCAGGAAATGTTATCCACAGAGATCAGAAGGTATATTTCAGTCATAGTCTTTTTCCTTCACTCAAGTTTTCTGTTAAACACTAAATGGAAAAGTATGAAAAGAACGAGATTAGTAAAAGAACTTTGATAACAATCTTCTGCTGTTCAGAGAGTAAAAAGCTTATTAATTTTCCTTTGTTCAATTCAGCCTTCAAATATCTTGCTGGATGCAGACTGCTTTGTTAAACTTTGTGATTTTGGGCTGGCTCGTTCTTTATGTCAGATGAACGAGGACCAAGGCAACCCTGCTCTAACGGAATATGTGGCAACACGCTGGTACCGAGCCCCCGAGATCTTACTTTCCTCTCGGAGGTAACTGCTTAATATGAGTGAAGGGATGGGATTCTACAATTTCTTCACCACTGGGAAAATTTCTTGTCTTCAGTCTTTTCATTTTAGATGTCACCAGATGCAATGTTATGTCAGCAGTCCATTTTGTCAATATGCATTTAAACTTCAGTTTTGCAGCATAAATATCTCTCATTACCTGTACATTTCCTTCCTGGCTTCTTAGACTGTCCATTTACATACATTGTCAGCTCGTCTGTTTGTCATCCTTTCTCCGACTAGACTTATTCTTTCTCCCTTTAAATGTGTATCTTTACAAAATTTGGTTGAGTACCTTAGTCCTCTTTTCCAAATTTAAGGAGAGTTTTTTTGATAGACCTTCAGAAAATACTCTGTAATCAGATGTTAAATCAGCTGCTTGTTAGCCAGACTTAGACCTTTTTTGACGTAAATATACAAAATCTTATTGATCAGAAAAGAAAATAAATATTAGTTGGGTTAGTATCCCAAATTTGAAATGTGGATGTTTTGCAAACTGTGATTTACCCATTTTTTGCCATATACTTTGCTGAAGTAATTGTAACTGCTTTCTAGATACATCCTGCCCTGAAAAGTCATTTCCAAACTGCAACTTGTATCTTCACTGTTGGTCATGTGAAAAGTATATATTGCCTTGTCCTGCCATTTATCTTTAATATATTTCCTTTTATGGTTTCCTGGAATAGACTTTAGTAGGATAAATCTCCTTTCTGTTTTATGCTTGCCAGTTTCATGATTCTCAAATCTCATTTGCTTTATAGTTAAAACCTGTGAGCATTCATATTCAAGGAGTCATCAGGCTTGTTTTTCTAGCAAAATAAGCTAATGTAGATGATGTGAATACTAGGTACAGAAAAATATTAATATTTGTTTGATTTAGTCCTAACTCTATTCTATTCTTATTTGTAGTTACACTAAAGGTGTAGACATGTGGAGCATTGGCTGTATTCTGGGAGAGCTGCTACTTGGGAAACCTCTTTTTCCTGGAACATCAACAATGAATCAGATAGAGCAGATCTTGAGGGTCATTCCTGCCCCATCCCAAGAAGGTAGGACTCTTCTACAGGGAAAGGTATTTAGAGAAGAGATTAAAAGACCAAAAGAAAGCAGCCCAGCTGGATCAGGGAAGAAGGTATCTCTTGTGAGTTGTTCTGACATCTTTCCAAGGAAATGAAAGACTTAATTGTGAAATGTTAGTGTTAGTGGAAAATAGGCCCATACTTGATTAGATGAGAAACAAGAACCAGGCCTGCAAAACATTTTTGAGATTTACAAAGGGTGACAGTTTAAAACAAAATATCATACTTCTGTGGGACTTGCATAATAAAGGTAAATTGGATATTTTGGTCTGGAAATCTAAGCACAGAAGTGAAAGCTGGAGTAAATACATGTTAAATCCAAAAGGGATGATGATGATGATGATGATGATGATTATC